CCTTTTTATACTACAGATATTCACCAGTAATTTATCTCTTTATTTTATTTAAATTTTTAAACATATGGTTTGCTTATACCAAGGTAAAACAAAGTGCACATGTCCAATATTGCAAAGATGGAAATACTGTATTCAATTACAGTTGACATGTTTAATAGATTATGAATTCCTTATTTTCTAAAGTTCAATTAAATTAAGACGTTTAAAATAAACATCTGAATGTATATATGAAAATTATTTTACTTTCCCTCTCCCCCTTCTTTTTCTCTCTCCCCGTGATTTTCATATGAAATTAATGATTAAAAGGTATTGTTAAAATGTAAATAAAGTAGATGGTAGAAGAATAAGAAAACAATAAACTAGAAAAAATATCTATGCATAATTTAAAATTGCCCTTAAAATTATAAAGAACATATTCTATATGTTGTTTAAATTCATTAGCTATAAAATAATTTCTGTTCATTGCATCTTATTTCTCATTGACGATGAAAATCAGAAATTCATGTTCATCATGAAAAGTTTTATCTTTTGGGTATAATGAGAATATACTTAAGAATTCTGAAACCTTAAACTATAGTTAGCTAATAACAAATTAACAATAATATTCACAACAAACAAAATATTTACATTACTAATATGTAAAAACAATGAAAGGGGCTTGTGTGGATTAATCATCTTTTGCCCAACTCTATTGCCCATACATTTATTTTCTTTATTGAGGTGTAGTTGATGTACAATATTATATAAGTTACAGGTGTACAACATAGTGATTCACAATTTTTAAAGGTTATACTCCATTTATAGTTTGTGTAAAATATTGGCTATATTCCCTGTTCTATACAATATATCCTTGTAGCTCATTTATTTTATACACTGTAGTTTGCACCTCTTAATCCCCTACCCGTACCTTGCCTCTGCCCCCTTTCCCCTCCCCACTGGTAACCACTAGTTTTTTCTCTAAGTCTGTGAGTCTGTTTCTTTTTTGTTATGTTCACTAGTTTGTTTATAAATTCCACAAATAAGTGATATCATATAGTATTTGTCTCTCTCTGACTTATTTCACTAAGCATAATACTCTCCAAATCCATCCATGTATTGCAAATGGCAAATTTTCATTCATTTTTATGACTGAGTAGTATTCCATTGTATATATATCACTTTTTCTTCATCCAGGTGATATCTCGCTGTGGTTTTTTTCACTTTCATTTGTCTCCAAGTATTTTTTGATTTCCTCTTTGATTTCTTCAGTGCCATTGGTTGTTTAGTAGCATACTGTTTAGCCTCCATGTGTTTGTGTTTTCTGCAGTTTTTTTCTTGTAGTTGATTTCTAGTCTCATAGCATTATGGTGAGAAAAGATTCTTGATATGATTTCAATTTTCTTAAATTTACTGAGGCTTGCTTTGGCCTAGCATATGATCTATCCTGAAGAATGTTCCACGTGCACTTGAAAGGAACGTGTATTCTGCTGCTTTTGGATGGAATGTTTTTTAGATATCTATTAAGTTGATCTGGTCTAATGTGTCATTTAAGGCTAGTGTTTCCTTATTGATTTTCTGTCTGAATATGATCTGTCCATTGATATAAGTGGGGTGTTAAAGTACCCTACTATTATTGTGTTACGGTCTATTTCTTCCTTTATGTCTGTTAATATTTGCTTTATGTATTTAGGTGCTCCTATGTTGTATGCACATATATTTACTATTATTACATCTTCTTTTTGGATTGATCCCTTGATTTTTATGTAACGTCCTTTTTTGACTCTTGTAACAGTCTTTGTTTTAAAGTCCATTTTGTGTGGTATCAGTATTGCTATGCAGCTTTCTTTTGATGTCCATTTGCTGATCTCTACATTTCAAATGCATTTTAACAACCCTACATTTTTATTCTACTCCCTTCACAATTACTATTTTTGATATCATGTTTTATATTTAATTGTTTTGTGTATCTCTTAACTGCTTATTGTGGATATAGATGATATTACTACTTCTGTCTTTTAACCTTACTAGGTTTGTGCATGGATGATTTCCTACCGTTCCTGTATGTTTGCCTTTACTGATTTGTTGTTTCCTTTTATAATTTTCATGTTTCTAGTTGTGGCCTTTTCTTTTTTGTTTAGACAAGTTCCTTTAACATTTCTTGCAAAACTGGTTTAGTGGTGCTGAACTCTTTTACCTTTTGCTTCTTTGTAAAACTTTTGTTCTCTCCATCAAATCTGAATGAAGGCCTTGTTTTTCCCTTTCATCACTTTAAATATATTGTGCCACTCCCTTCTGGCCTGCAGAGTTTCTGCTGAAAAGTCAGCTGATAGCCTTATGGGAGTTCCCCTGTATGTAACTTGTTGTTTTTCCCTTGCTGCTTTTAATATTCTCTCTTTATCTTTAGTTTTTGCCATGTTGATTACAGTGTGCCTTGGTGTGTTCCTCTTTGGGTTAATCCATATGGGACTCTCTGCCCTTCCGGGACTTGGAAGGTGTTTCCTTTCCACGTTAGGGAAGTTTTCAGCTATTAGGTCTTCAGATATATACTCAGCCCCTTTCTCTCTTCTCCTTCTGGGACCCCTGTAATGTGAATATTAGTGTGGTTGATGTTGTCTCAGAGATCTCTTAAACTCTTTTCATTCTTTTTTCTGTTCAGCATCAGTGATTTCTACTACTCTATCTTCCAGCTCACTGATCCATTCCTCTGTATCATTTAGTCTACTGTTGATACCTTCTACTTGATTGTTCGTTTCAGTCATTGTATTCTTCAACTCTGTTTGGCTGTTCTATATTTTCTAACACCTTGTTAAAAACTTCTAAATTCTCAGTCTGTGCATCCATCTTCTCCTGAGTTCTTTGATCATTGTTACAATCACTACCCTGAACTCTTTCTCGGGTAGATTCCCTATCTACTTCACTTAGTTATTCTGAGATTTTATCTTTTTCGTTCATTTGGAACATGTTCCCTTTTACCTCATTTTGCCTAATTCACTTTTTATTTTTATGTATCTGGTAGGTTGGTTACATTTCCTTGGATAAGTGGCCTTTTTGTAGGCCTGTGCATCCCAGCAGTGCACTCTCCTCTTGTCACCGTAGCTATATGCTCTAGGGGTGCCCCTTATGTGGGCTGTATGTGGCAGGCTGATTTCTATTCTATTGTGGCAGGCTGATTTCTATGGTCAGTCTTGTAGGCTTGGTTGGCCCCTGGTCTGGTTTGTTGCCAGGCCCTGCCCCTCTGGTTGGCAGGGCCAGGTTATGAGGTGGCTGACTATAGAACCCTGGGGGGCCCTGTAGCTAGTGCTGGCTCCCTAGTGGGCAAAGTCAGGGTCCAGAAGACCCTGGTGCTATTGCCTGCCCACTGGTGGATGAAACCAGGTCTTGGGGCTAGTGCAAGCCTACTGCTGGGCAGAGCTGGATCCTGGGGACTGGTTGCAGGTCCCAGGAGTCCCAGAACTGGTGTCAAATTGCTGGTGGGTGGGGCCACTTCCTGACACAGTTGGCTACAGGGTCCAGGGTGTCTTCAAGCTTGTGTTGGCCTAGTAGTAGGTGGGACCAGGGCCCAGCTGGTCACAGGGCAGGATTTGGCCTGCTGGTGGAGGGGCTGGATTTGTAGGTTGCAGTGCTGTGGTTGTCTTGTGGCTGCTGTCTGCCTGCTGGTGGGTGAGGTTGGTCCCAAGGCTAGAACATGCTTGCTGGTGTGTGGGACCAGGTCCCTGGGCAGGGTCTGGCCTGCTAGTGGTGGGCCAGGTCCACAGGCTACAGGGCTGCAGTTGTCTTGTGGCTGGTGTCTACCCACTAGTGGGTGGAGCTGGGTCCTAGGGTCTCTGGCTGGAGGGCCCTGGGGGTCCCAGGTCTAGTGCCTATGCACTGGAGTGTGGGCCTGGGTTCTGGGCCTTCTGGTGAGCAGGACCCTGTCGAGGGGCAGCTGTGGGCTCAAGAGGTCTTAAAGTAGCCTGTCTGCTATGGGCTGGGCTGTGTTCCTGCCCAGTTAATTAATTGCTTGACCTGAGGCATCCAGCACTGTTGCCTACAGACTGTTGGGCCAGGGCAGCACTGCATCCTGAGGCCAATAAGCTAGAGGAATGATTCCAGAACGGTGCTTGCCAGTACCAGTGTCCATGTGATAGAACAAGCTCCCAAAATGGCTGCCCCCAGTGTCTGTGTCCCCAGGGTGAACTCTAGTTGCCTCCTGCCTCTCCTGGAGACTCTCCAAGAACAGCAGCTGGTCTGACCCAGGCTCCTTTCAAATTACTGCTTCTGCCCTGGGTCCTGGAGAGTATGAGACTTTGTGCGCATCCTTTAAGAGAGAAGTCTCTATTCCCCCCAGCCCTCTGGGACTCCAAAAAATAAGCCTGCTGGCCTTTAAAACCAAATGCTCTGGTGGCTTGTCTTCCTGGTGCAGGACCGCCAGGCTGGGAAGCCCAATGTTCGGCTTGGACCCCTCATTCCCTTGGGAGAACCTCTGCAATTGTAATTATTCTCCCACTTGTTGGGCACCCACCTGGGGGTATGGGACTTGACTATATCATGATTCTGCCCCTCCTACCCATCTAGTTGTGGTTCCTTCTTTACATCTTTAGTTGTAGAAGATCTTTTCTGGTAAATTCCAGTCTTTTTCGTCAATGATTGTTTTGTAAATAGTTGTAATTTGGGTATACCCATGAGAGGAGGTGCACTCAGGGTCTTTCTACCCAGCCATCACTGCCAGTCTCCTCTATTGCCCATATGTTTTATTAATGGTATGTCACTAGTTGCTGGAATCCCTGTTCTGGCATACTTCAAATTCCCATGCCACTGGGAATTTATTAATCCGTAGACTCAGCCTACCTGCAGTTCTTATATTGATTAGGTCCTATATTGCCATTCTTATATTGACAGTGAAAATCAAGCATTCCTGGATCCATGGGTCCAGAGTTCTTCATGTGTTTACCCCTATTGTGTGCTTTGTACTTTGGGGTTCGTGTTTCTTTCCTTATGCTCAAATTCCACACAATTGTTAAAAGATATGCAGTATCACTTACATAGTAAAACCATTGAAAGAAGCATATTCCTCAGCTGTGAATCCATAAATATCTTGACAAGATAGGTTCACCTCTTGCTGAAGAAGAAGACTGACTAAACTTGTTGGTTCATCACTGAGAGCAATCATAAGGGCTGTTCTGGAGCAAGAGATATAAATGTGTCCATTTATGAATCTTAACCATGTCTTGTACTTTTTAAAAAATGAGTCTTCTAAATCTACTGTTTAAATGTATGATCAGGAAAAGAGTTGGGGCAAGAATGTAAAATGTGGGGCAGATCTACTCAAAAAGGTGTGCTAATCACAGATCATATCATGAAGTCTAAAGATAAGAGTCTCTAGGAAGCAGCTAGCTCAGTGGTTTTCAACCCCTGCTCCTGGGAACACTAGTATTTTCCGGGAGATGTCTCAAAAATTCTATGGAGGGGAGTGTCTGGGACTCTGGGTACCCTATCCCCATTTAACTACGGCATCTGGGATTTAGAGATTGAGTTTCTGTGTAAGATTCTAATGTTAAAAAATAATAATAGCAATAATTACATACCAATCTGGCCCAACTGTTTGATTTTACAGATAGAGAAATAGATCCTGGGAATCTAGGTAATTTGTCCAAAATCATATGGCCAAATCTTTTCAGTTTCAAAAATATGTCTCATATATACATATATGATATATATATAGGCTTACTTCAAACTGAGGTCAAGAGCAGCCTGGAGTATTTAAGTAATGAGCACCTAGAATTTAACATATGTGTGCATGTGTATATATTCCTGTTAGATACCTATAGTTATATGCTCTTATTTAACATTAATTATACCTTTGATTCTTATCTGAAGCATTCACATCTGCCCCACTCTTCAGAAGAAATTCTACCATTTCTGCATTATTTTCAGTAATGGCAAGTAAAAGTGGAGTATACCCATCCTGGAAAAATTATTTTAAAATGATTATTTAAAATATTGTACCAACATTCCATGCCTTTTAATTTAAGTTCAATTTAAAAAATAAGTATGCTTATAAGAAACCTCTGTAATAACCTCTAATTGAACAGAATCTAAAAAGGAATATATATATGCCTGTCAAAAAATCAAAATAAAATTATAAAAATTATAAAAATAAATAAATAATACTAAAATAAAATATAGTTGGCCAGTCAAAAAATAAAATTGAAGTTTCTGCTTTAGGCTTAATTCAAATTGTGGGCAAGAGCACTCTGGAGTATTTAATTACTGAGCACCTAGAATTTAACGTAAGTATTGCAAACCATCAATTCACATTTCGTAATGTTGTTACAGCTGAGTTTCCTAGGGTTTCATTTAAACTTCCAAGGCTGGCACTTATTTTGGCCTGTCATGCAGATAAAGTATCAGTGAACTAAAGTGTTAGGAAGCTTAAAAACATATATTAATCTGTTATCCATAAAGTCTTAATAGGTGACTTGGATTACTTTTAGTATAACAAGTGATTTTCTAATTTTACTCTATTATAATTATTCACGAGTATACCAATAAAATATAAAAGGACATAGTCTTCATGATTTTTAATCAATGTTCATTTATAAGGAAATCAAGTATTTCTCATGTGATGTACTTCTTTGAACAGTTATAATTGTTAAACCTCATGTTGCTTTGGAGGTCAAGATTATAATCTGAAATGAAATGGAGAAAGGTTTTTTTTAAAAAGGAAAACCTTATCAGTATTTGATAATCTCATTCTCCTTCTCCTTCTCCCTAATTTCATTTTGTAAAATTCATGTTTTATATAACATGTGTCTCAACAGATATAAATTATCTGCAATGAATACCTTCTTTTACTGCTTTCTAAAATATAATGTATTGTTTTTAATAGAAGACTACCTTATTTTGAGCTTCAAGATTAGCTTTGTGTTCAAGCAATTTTGCAACTAATGAGTCACTTTGATGACAAGCAGCATAATGAAGAGCAGTATTGCCATATAAATCCACCAGGTTTGGGTCTGCGCCATGTTCTAGAAGAATAGTAACACAACTCTCCTTGTCACACTGTACTGCCTGTCAGAACAAAAAGAATAGACGGGTAACCAATTTACTATTTAGGATCTGATATATTAAACTAATGTTTAATACTATGTTTTAAAATATGAAATATAACAAAGGTTAACTAGGAGAAGAACTCAAATGTAATTCAATTGAAAAGGAAAAATCAGCACACCTTAGTCAATGGAGATCTGTTTTCACCATCCCAGACATTTACTTTGCACTGTTTCTCAATTAAGAGAGATACAATATTTGAATATCCATTAGCACAGGCCAGGTGCAAAGCTGTTCTGTATCAATATAATGAAACACAAAGTTACAGATAAGTCTTACTTTGAGAAGTTATCTGCTATGCCCAAGAACATGCCAGATCATATATTATTAAGGTATTTGCTTTGTGTACTTATTTATATTTACACAAAATTTAATTAATTATAATTGCTTCTTACTGAATTAAAAGAGCTGTGCAAATGCCTGAAGATCAAATATTTAACTGGTTTCACTTCAAAGAAAATTTAACTATGCATTAAACAATAGGTTTTTTTCAAACACCAAAATGGAGTATGAGCCTTGGAGAATGATAAAATTAGACATCCAATTATGTCTAGAAATGATCTCCAAAACCTAAGATACATGTGCCAGATAACAGGAGGAAAAGACATTGCCTATGTTTGCCTATTGCATGGCATACTACACCTAAGTGTGTGTGTTTCTCTTTGCTCAGCTATTAAAGCTGTCATTTGCATCTAAGAAGTGCACACAAAGGTGAAAGCCTAAGTACTCTTTAAGTTGTAGATCCCAACCTAATTTTCAGTTATTAAAATAATTTCTACTTCTCAAAGAACCATATTCTATGTAGCCTCCCAGAAACCAAGCATATAGTCATGAGGTATGACAGATACTAATGAGCTCCATTTAAACTTTGTAGCTTTTAGCCTGGACTAACCCTCAACAAACTTTTATTTATTTGTGAAGGTGATGTCTTTATATCCTTATTTTAAGAAAATTTCATAATACAAAGTCTATATACAGGTAGCCCAGGTCCCGAACAAAAGATTTTAGATGCCATTTTCCCACTTCATTTTAGGTCCTCAGAAGTACTTTATGGGTACCTAAACAGAACTGTTATTGACACTAAGAGTAGCAAAATGTAGCCCACAAGGACTTGAAAATAAGGTAACTTTCAAAGAACAAGGCTCATAAAATCCAAACATGATGATATAACTTACCATTTATGGGAGTAAACCCAAAAAATATAAAAATAATTTTGAATAGTTTGGAAATACGAAAACTCGAATCAAGTTTACCTGAATATAATCTCTGGAAGGCAAGACTGTAACTATAATTCAAAAAACCAGAAACCTAACCAATTATGTCATTCTCTCTGAAGAAAGACTGTACTCAGAAAGAGGATGGTCAGCTAAGTGATAGACTGAAGCCAGAAGTTATCCATGATTAACATCCTTCATGGTAAAGAATATATGAATTTAAGGAGCCCATACTTCCCAGTCATTGGAAAGGAATACTTTGTTTTTCTGTAGAAGAAAAATGATTCCTCAGACATCATGGTCTGGATGAAATATCCCTCAAAATGATCTACCTTGTTTTGCCACGATTCCATCCTTACCAAACAAACTTCTGATAACTAATTTGGTTTCTCAGAAATCGTGACACAGGAAAAGCACTGATTAGCCTTTTTGTTGACATCCGTAATTTGGCTTAAAGGTAAATTTCCTTATGTAATAGGAAGTTTCTCCAGTCTTCAACCTGAACATATGGGGCCGAAAGGCTTTAAGCTGAACTAAAATAAATCCTTGCAGTAGCACAGCAAATCCTAAAAAACATTTTGATCCATCCCCTTCACCCACTGTTATATATATCTCAAAATTTTAGTCTCAAGGAACGTAGGTGGCTTTTACTCAATCTTTAGATATAATTCTCTTTCCAACTCCAGTTTCCTTTTTTCACTAAAACAAACAAACAAAACCCAAAAAGCAAAAACAAAACCAATCTCTCTTTCTCTGAGAGAAAGTAATTGGCATTTGAGTAATTCCCCGGAGGTGTTCCAGAAGTGGCTGCTGCGTGGCTGCTGCACGCCTGCTGAATATTTCACTCTTCCAATTGAAGTCTAAACCCTATGTGACAGGGGGACCTTCAAGATGGTGAAGGAATAAGATGGGGAGATCACCTTCCTCCCCACAGATACGTCAAAAATACATCTACATGTGGAACAACTCCTACAGAACACCTACTGAATGCTGGCAGAAGGCCTCAGACTTCCCAAAAGGCAAGAAACTCCCCACGTACCTGGGTAGGGCAAAAGAAAAAAGAAAAAACAGAGACAAAAGAATAGGGACGGGACCTGCACCAGTGGGAGGGAGCTGTGAAGGAGGAAAAGTTTCCCCTTCACTGGTGGAGATGGGGAGTGGGTGGGGCAGAAGCTTTGGAGCCATGGAGGAGAGCACAGCAACAGAGGTGCAGAGGGCAAAGCAGAGAGATTCCCATGCAAAGGATTGGTGACAACAAACACTCAACAGCCTGAGAATATTGCCTGCTCACTTTCTGGGGCTGGGAGCTGAGGCTCGGGCTTCAGCAGTCAGATCCCAGGGAGAGGACTGGGGTTGGCTGAGTGAACACAGCCTGAAGGGGGTTAGTGCGCCACAGCTAGCCGGGAGGGAGTCCGGGAAAAACTCTGGACATGCCTAAGAGGCAAGAGATCATTGGTTGTGGTGCACGAGGAGAGGGGATTCAGAGCACCGCCTAAATGAGCTCCAGAGATGGGCATGAGCCGTGGCTATCAACGAGGACAACAGAGATGGGCATGAGACACTAAGGCTGCTACTGCAGCCACCAAGAAGCCTGTATGCAAGCACAGGTCACTATCCACACCTCCCCCGTGAGAGCCTGTGCAGCCTGCCACTGCCAGGGTCCCGGGATCTAGGGACAACTTCCCCAGGAGAACACACGGCGGCCTCAGGCTGTTGCAATATCATGCTGACCTCTGCTGCCACAGGCTCACTCCACATTCCGTACCCCTCCCTCTCCCTGGCCTGAGCCAGAGCCCCCTAATCAACTGCTACCTTAACCCCATCCTGTCTGGGCGGGGAACAGACACCCTCAGGTGACCTACGTGTAGAGGCAGGGCCAAATCCAAAGCTGAACCCGAGGAGCTGTGCAAACAAAAAGAGAAAGGGAAATTTCTCCCAGCAGCCTCAGGAGCAGCGGATTAAATCTCCACAATCAACTTGATGTACCCTGCATCTGTGGAATACCTGAATAGACAACCAATCATCCCAAAATTGAGGTGGTGGACTTTGGGAGCAACTGTAGACTTTGGGTTTGCAATCTGCATCTAATTTGTTTATGGTTTTATGTTTATCTTAGTTTAGTATTTACAGCTTATTATCAGTGGTAGATTTGTTTATTGATTTGGTTGCTCTTCTCCTGTTTTTATATATATATATTTTTTTCCTCTTTCTCTTTTTGAGTGTGTATGTGTATGCTTCTCTGTGTGATTTTCTCTGTATAGCTTTGTTTTGCCATTGTCCTAAGGTTCTGTCTGTTCATTTTTGTTTGTTTTTTTAGTATACTATTTAGTACTTGTTATCATTGGTGGATTTGTTTTTTGGTTTTGTTGCTCTCTTCTTTCTTTCTTTCTTTTCTTATTTTTTTATTTTTAAAAATTTATTTTTGTTATTTTATTTTATTATTTTTTCCTTTTTTTCTTTATTTTTTCTGCCTTTTCTTCTGAGCCGTGTGGCTGACAGTATCTTGGTGCTCCAGCCAGGTATCAGGCCTGAGCCTCTAAGTGGGAGACCTGAGTTCAGGACATTAGTCCACCAGAGACCTGGCTGCACATAACATCAAATGGCAAAAGCTCTCCCAGAGATCTCCATCTCAACACTAAGACCCAGTTTAACTCAACAACAAGCAGGCTACAGTGCTGGACACCCTATGCCAAACAACCAGCAAGACAGGAACACAACCCCACCCATTAGCAGAGAGGCTGCCCAAAATCATAATAAGTTCACAGACACTCGAAAACACACCACCAGACGCGGTCCTGCCCACCAGAAAGGCAAGATCCAGCCTCATCCACCAGAACACAGGCACCAGTCCCCTCCACCAGGAGGCCTACACAACCCACTGAACCAACCTTACCCACTGGGGACAGAAACCAAAACCAACGGAAACTACGAACCTGCAGCCTGTGAAAAAAGGACCCCAAACACAGTAAGTTAAGCAAAATGAGAAGACAGAGAAATACGCAGCAGATGAAGGAACAAGGTAAAAACCCACCAGACCTAACAAATGAAGAGGAAATAGGCAGTCTACCTGAAAAAGAATTCAGAATAGTGATAGTAAAGATGATCCAAAATCTTGGAAACAGAATGGAGAAAATACAAGAAATGTTTAACAAGGACCTAGAAGAGTAGGTCCTTTGAGTAGTATGACTGAAAGTGTTCATTTGGAATTGAGCCTTCACCTACAAGGCAACCTACCGATCTGAGGGACTTTTTAAATAAAAACCATAAAAGTAATTTAATTTTATACCTAGGAGAGATATTAGACATCTTCAATTCACTTTCAAACTCATTAGGCACAGAACTCAAAATAAAAACATAAATATTAGCTAAATAAACAAAGCACATTAACAGGGAGCTCCTCTGGTTTAATAAGAAATAGTCTTCAATGGGGCTTTGCAGATCTTGGTTTAAAAAACATCTATCTAGTAATAGTTCTGATTTGACAAGATGAGGAGATTTAGGGTCAAGGTCATACAAATGCAGGGAAGGCCTCAAATTCAGATTTTTATTCCAAAAACAGTGTTATTCCTACTGGGCCACTATGGCCTTCAAAACAACCTGCTCATTAACTGTCATGGTGTTTCTCCCATTCTATCCTAACCAGAAATTTCCACTTTTATTATCATTATTTTTACTAGAAAACATATTTAGCATATTATTTCAATAAGGCCATTATTTATATGTACATATACTTACATGAGGCATCAGGGACATTTGCACAATGCTTCTAAAATGAGTTTATGCAGCCCTCAATAAAACACTATAATTCACCTTTTAAAATATTCAAATAACACAAAACAGAAGTCTCCCATAACCATTCTCACTCTACCTACTTCCTCTGCCCAAATCTCATCTCCTCTTCAGAAATAGTGTTTTAACTTTAGTATGTATCCTCTCAGATTTTATCCCATTCTCAGTCTTTCTACACACACACACGCAAATATTCAAATAGAATATAGAGTTTGAGACTTTTTTTATTCAGCTTTATTGAGGTATAATTTATAAAAAATTTAAGTGTACAGTTTTATGAGTTTTTTCCAATATATAGTCATATAACTGCCACCATAAACATAATAAAGAACATTTCTATCACTCTAAAAAGTTTCCTCATATCCCTTTACAATCAATCCCCCTTCCTCCAGTCCCCATATGAAACACCTGGTAACTACTAATTTGCTTTCTTTGGCTATAATTTTGCCTTTCTAGAATTTCATATAAAAGGAGTCACTTGATATATAGTCTTTTGTATCTAGTTTCTTTGACTTAGCAGGACACTTTTGAGATTCATCCATGTTGTTGCATGTATCAGTAATTTCATTTCTTTTATTAATAAGAGATATCATTTTATTGCTGAGTAATATCTTTAAATTATCATATTTATCTATGTATGTATATATATGTATGTATTCATTCATCAAAAAATATTAATTCAGCACTTACTATGGCTAGACAAGGTTCTAGGTGATGAAGATACAGCAGCAAATAAAACAAAAATACCTGACCTTATGGATCATACATGGCTAGTGGAAGAGGTCAACGAAAAAAACTTAAAATACAAGGTACAACAGACAGTATTAAGTGCTAAAGAGAAAAATCAGGCAAGGAAGAGGAACAGAAAATGTCAGCATGGAGAGGGGGTGCAATTGTTGGAAGAGTAGCCAGGGAAGCTCTCACTGATAAGATGACAAACACCTGAAGGAAGTGAGACCAAGCCATGTGGATATCTGGGTGGGGAAGCACTCCAGGCAAAGGACCCAGCAAGTCCAAAGGCCCTAACTGCATGTCTGGCATTTCTGTGGACACTAAAAAGACCAGGGTAACTGGAGATGAATGAAAGGGAGAGTTGTAGGAGCTAAGATCAGAGAGATAACAGGGAGGGGGTGAAGGTTGTGTAGGGTTGTATGAGCCTTTGGAAGGACTTTGGCTTTTACCCCTAATGAGATGGAAATCCAGTGGATGTTGTTAAGACAAGGAAGGACATCACTTGACATACATTTTAGAGGATCATTCTGGCTAATGTGTGGAGAATAAATTGGAAAGGTTAAAAGACAGAAAACTACCTGGGAGGCCACTGCAGTAATTCTCATTAAGATATGATGGTGGCTTTGACTACAGTGGTACCTTGGAAGGTGGCAAGAAATGGCTGGATTTTAAACATGTTTTGAAGGTAGAACCAAAAAGATTTACTGTTGAATGAGATGAAGGATGTGAAAGAATGAGAGTAGTCAAGAATGACTCTAGGGGTTCTGGCCTAAACAACTGAAAGAAAGGATTTGGCATTTATAGAAAGAGAAGAGCAGATCTGAGGAGGAATAACAGGAGCGCAGTATGCGGATGTTTGAGATTCCTAAGCAGTGATGGGGTGGAGCTAGCGGCTCTCACAAGCCCATTGTTAAATTTTCAGGAATTATTCAAGCCACTTGACATCACATTGGTAGGTGGAAATCAGGGATTCTCTTCCCTTCTCCCCACCCCCACTCAAGAGCCTGTTATATAACATTTACCAGCACACCACAGCCTGTTAGATATACAAGTGATAGTGTAGGCATTTGTATATATATGAGTCCAGAGTTCAGGGGAGAGGTCTAGCTGGAGATTAAAAGTTGGAAGGCATTGGAATACACTTACAGACGATCTCTCTTCATCAGGCAAGTCAGGATTAAATGAGAGAGACAGAGAGAGAATTATTTTGAGGTCTGAGCCCTCAAATATTTACCAATCAGGAAGATGAAGAGAAAGCAGCAAAGGAGTCTGAAAAGAATTGTCCACAGAAGTAGAAGAAATGCCAGGTGAACCAAGTGTTCTGAAAGACAAGACGATATTTCAAATACTACTGCTAGGAAAGTAAGAGACTTGGCTGAGATGCCTGCCAGGTACGACTGAGAATTGACCACTGAATAAAGTCATGTTGAGGTTATTGATGACCTTGTAAAGAAATTCAGAGGAGTGGTGTAGGATAAAAGTCAGATAAATTATTGAATAGATAACTCTGATTTTATTAAAAGAGGAGGTAAAACTATGAGCAAGTGGACACAGATCCTCTAATCATAGTTTCCAGTTGCCCTATTACAATGAAAGATGACGCTTTATATACCCTATGACCTGAAAACTCCCCACAAGATTTTAAGGTAGGCACATATAGTACATATTTTCTGTTATTAATGCCAAATACATAACCTCTTCATTTCTTAACATATAAAATTAATTTTGTTTTTGCAGTAAGTGGTTGTTGATGAGCTTTTTGAAGATACTCTACAACTGAAAAAAATTTTTCATAGGAGATCCACATTAAAAAGTTAATTGTTTTGCTCTTTCAAAGTCTTAAAATCTTAATAATCACTGTTCTGGGAAGTCGCCTCTACTCTTTTCCTATTAGTACATTAGGAATACGGAAAATCTTAGTGGCTGGGGACAGTATATACCAAAGAAGAAAAACCATAGCATGAGGAAAGGGTGAATTGCCCAGTGGAGGTTAAGGCAGTGGGAGGAGTGGAGGGAATTGGGAAGGACCCAAATGCCCTCAAATATCCAGGTGAACATTTCTAAAACTAAGAAGCTGAAAGTTGGGGGTATGACCCTCTGCCAGTGGTTCCCAGACCTCTCCACTATGGGAAACTCAGAGTGACAACCAGTGGGGTAGTCCAGACAAGTCCTGTTTCTGGTTAGAGGACCCAGTGACCCCAGCTTCCCCTCCATGCTGCCCTTCATCACTCTGGTCACCTGTGTTCTCTGTCCCGCATGTTCACATCATGTTTCTTGAGCTGAAGATACTCCTTCACCTTCTCTAAATCCCCAACCGAGGCAGCTTTGTGAAGTTTCTTTAAATCCTTATCTCTAAGATTGTAGCCTGGCTGGGCTGGAGGACCGATACTGGCTGGCCTGCCTATGGGCAGGTGTGAGCAAGAACTGTGGGGCTCATCCTTCCTTCTCCATAATGTGAAAAGCTTCTTCATGGCGGCACAGGAAGCAGTCCTTCAGTTGGACCAGCTCCCTGGAGCTCCTAACTGCCCCACCTGCCTCTCCACCATGGCCCTCTGGCTCGCGGGCCCCTCTGGCCAGGTAGGTCCCCCCCGCAGTGCTGGAGTCAAAGCCAGCTAGAGACCGGAAGTGGGCCAAAGATCAGAACCTGTGTGGGCGGCTTTTCCCAGTTGCCTAGCAACGCCCAGGGCCTCTGGCACCCGAGGTTGGGACCCAGCCCCCCTGTTGCCCAGATCCAGATTCTTCAGTCAAGATCTTAGATTAACTGCTAACACTCTCAGTCTTCCTATTAGATCCAGCATCTTTGGGTAGAAACCTATCAACTTTCTTACAAATACCCCTTTCCCTTCAAGGATAGACCTAGTAGCTTGAACTCTTACAAACCAAGATTTACCCTCCTCCTGGTAGTTATGAACCTCCTCCAGTGATCTTGCCTCCAGCCTACTCCCTGCCTCTCACCAACATGGTTCACAAGGGGCAACTCGCTTTTAACAATAACTGAGATCCCTTCATAATCTCAATTTCAAACATACTTTTGAATACCATCTCTCATATTTTAGCTCACTCTCTCATCACAAAACTCCAAAAATCCTTCTAACTCATTGCACCTACAGTCCATTAATTCTGCCACATTTCACTGACCTTGACTACCCCACTCTGTGTTCTCACTTCCCTACTTAAGTAGGTTAAGTTCCATGGTTAATCATTATCACTCTCATGCATATGCCTTCAGCATGTTTACCCCCATTCCTTTTCTTACTTGTCCACCTAAACCACAGAGCTGGTTAAATCTAAAACTCCCATCTAAACATGTCTGCCCTAAGCCACTGGTTGTGACTAAAGGAAAAAACAAATCCATGCTGTCTTTTCTCACTTTCAGTTCATGAAAACCCACCTGAAATGGATTGGTATGCTTCCCAGCAATCCTTAGATACTTGCCTTATCCATTCACACTTATACGTTCCTTGAACACTTCATATATTCTCTTTTTGAATTCATTCTCAGCTGATGACCTGGCTTCCTGATCCATTGAGAAAAGTGAGTTAATCAGAAGAGAAATTCTGCAGGCTACCAGGACATCTACCCACCTATCGACACCTTGCCAAAAAATATTTTACCTTCTCTCTTGTTCATGTTGATATCCATGTTCTAGCAAAGGCCAGCACTTCGCTTACATACTAGAAGCCCATCCTCTGTATTGCTTCAGCAACCCCCCTCCCCTGCTTTCTCGCGTGTCTTTAAAATTTCCCTCTCCGATAACATTCTTATTAACATAAATACATGCTAGTGTTTGTCCATCCTAAAACAAACAAACTGACCCACCTCCCCCTGCAACCATTGCCTCATTTCTCTCCTTTACAGCAAAAAGACTTAGAATTGTCTATAATCTTGTCATCTCTGTCTACATTCTTCTTCTGTTCTCCCTTAAGTTCCCATCATTACCCTGTTTTCCCGTTTCTCTCAATCCACACTGCTTTAAGTACGATTGACCATGATCTCCAATTGCCATTTCTCAGTTTTCATGTTAATCATGTTAATCTATTGCTTGCTTCTTGAAACACTTTCTTCACTTGGCTTCCAAGACGTCATGCTTCCCTGGTTTCATTCCTTCCCTCCTAACCATTCCTCTTCAGTCTATTTCGGAGAGCCCCAGGATCAGTCCATGATTAGCTTCATTTTCCCCCCAAATCCTTGGAGTCATCCTTGAATCTTATCTTTTACACCTACATTTAAACTGCCAGCAAATTCTGTCAATTCTAACTACAGAATATATCCAGAATCCATTTGATTTCTTCCCCTATCCATATTCCCTTCTGGGTGATCTCATTCAGTCCCATGGCTTTAATACCATCTATGCAATGTCAACTCCAAATCTGGAAGTTCCAGTCTGGTTCCCTTCCCTGAACTTCGGACTGGCATATCCAGTTGTCTATAGACTCTATAGGCATCTTGTGCTTAACATGTCTCAGTTGACATCCTGACATTCCAATCTGTCACTGTCTATCTTACTTAAGAGCAGGTAACTCCATTCTTCATGTTGCTCAGGTCAAAAGTTTTAGTGTCATCCTTGACTTCTTTCTTTTTCAAAGGCCACATCTAATCAGTTAGCAAAACCTGCATGCAGTACTTCCAAATACATACAGAATTTGACCACTGATATCACTGTAGTCCAGGCCAACATCATCTCTCTCATTTGCATTACTTGACCAAAAAAAATTAGCTGTGTTAGAACTGGGACAAGAACTGATAAGCTTCAGGATTTCAGGACTCCTCCTGTCATATCACGCTACCTCTGGTTAATTTTATGAGCTGCACCGCCTTCAATTCATGATGACCTGAGAATAATTTTTCACTTATATGCTAATATAAAGCTAGTACAGCTCAGAAATTTGAAATGTATAGATAATTATATGCTAATTTTATACAATTATTATTAATAGAATAATGAGCTGCTGTCTCTTCTATTATCAGACACATGAGTATTATGTAATATGGTTAGTACCTTATAAGAGTATTAAAAGAGCAATGTTATTTATCACATTTTTTTCCTAAATAACAATTCCCATGTAATTTCTCAGGAAAAATAATAAAAGAGATCCCAGTATGCTTCATCTCAAACATAGCTATGCAGTTAAAACTTCTCAGTGGATTTTCTGTTGGTGTTCCTGCTAAAGATACAGAAAGTAGGCTTATGAAAGTTTTGATAATGAAAGAACTATTTAAAGATCAATATGTAAATTTCATTGCTAGTTTTTCTTTCTTGAAATTCTAAATTTGTGGTTTTTTAAGAAGGTAATTGTTAAAGTCTAAAATAATAATGTCTGAAGGGAAATTTCTTTAGTTTCAAAAGTTCACTAAGTTCATTAAACCCATATGGTGCCTTTGTACAAATTAGGAAGTAATTATGTATGTCATTTGTTTCTCTATAATTACAAATAAATTGGACTTGTTACAAAATGGGTTTATTATTTTTACAACAAATTATTTCTAATGATTATTAAGTCATAATCATTTATAATAAATGGCATAGTGATTTATTCGTAAGAAAAGCACCTGTTTTTAAACTGGGACTTTAAACAAACAGAAAACAATACAAACTGCAATAAGAAATGTCAGGTTTAGGGCTTCCCTGGTGGCGCAGTGGTTAAGAATCCGCCTGCCAATGCAGGGGACACGGGTTCGAGCCCTGGTCTTGGAAGATCCCACCTGCCACGGAGCAACTAAGCCCGTGCACCACAACTACTGAGCCCGTGTGCCACAACTATTGAAGCCCGTGCGCCTAGAGCCCTGCTCCGCGACAAGAGAAGCCACCGCAATGAGAAGCCTGTGTGCCACAACGAAGAGCAGGCCCTGCTCACCATAACTAGAGAAAGCCCACGCGCAGCAACAAAGACCCAAAGCAGCCAAAAAAAAAAAAAAAAATCGGGTTTAGATGGTGTACACTAATACAAACAAGATATTATATTTTAATTTACTTTTGCGATCAGTATAGAAATTATTAAAGCAATTCTTTATTGAGAATCACAAGTTATATGTGGCTACATTAACAATTATTGACCTTTCTCTTTCATAATTTGAAGAGAATGTTTTGTTCCCCTTAGAACAAAATACTTTTCTACTATTTGTTGGCTAATCATTATGATTTACTTCTTAATTAATTTAGACTGCCATAACAAATTACCATAGACTAGGTAGCTTAAACAACAAACATTTTTTATCACAATTCCAGAGGCTGGAAGTCTGAGATCAGGGTGCCTCATATGGCTGAAAGAGCTAGCTGTCTCTGGCCTTTTCTTATAAAGGCACTAATCCCATTCAGGAGGGCTCCCATGACTCAATTACTTCCCAAAGGCCCCACCTCCAAATATCATCACATTGGAATTAGGGTTTCAACACATGAATTTTGGAGGGGCACAAGCATCCAGTACATAACATTTACTAATTTTGTTAGAACAAGATACTTTACTGCCATCAGCCAGAAGAGTTATGTTTGTATAATAAATGTACAAAGAGCCCATCTCTGGACCTAACTCAAAGTTTTAATAGAAGTACAAAAATATGTCACAAAGACAAAAATGCTGCAATGAAAATGGTGCCTCTTAGAGGTGGTAACTTGTGCAGTGCATGACCTGAACAACTGTATGAAGCCACCATTAGTTTAGTCTCAATTTTGTAGATCTTCTATACATCAGGCATTTTACTAGGTGTCAAAAATACAAGCATGAATTAGATGTAGTTCTGATTGTCATGGTACTCGCTATAGAGTAGAGTTAATTTCTATAGTTTTTCAGAAATCTTTTCTAAGGAAAACATAATTTTCATTCATTCATTTATTCACTCAAATAATTCTTGTGTCTTTTAAGTATACTGGTATTTCTCTAATATTGGAGCATAAAAAAGTCTTTTTCTTACCTCAATATACACTTAAAATTATTTGTGTTGTATTTCCATATGTTTCTACTTTGGGGGTAGTATCTACATTGTCTAAGTTTGATCTTTATATTCAATTTTCAAGGCAGCTAAGTCATGCGACAACATTCTGTAATAGAAAGATCAGTGGGTAGCTTTTTAAATGGTTTTTTAAAATGCCAAGTTAATGGAAAAGGTTTTCTTTGTCCTTTGGCATAGGGCTCATCATAATGCCTGGCAAGCTGACAAAGCATGATGATGGAAAGGATTTAGAAAGTGACATCACACTGCACTGACTCTTTGGCCCATCCTGCTACCTAAGAGTCCAGCCTCTCTAGCACCAAGAAGAGAGAATCTCAAGAGGTCACCACTTAAAAACTAGAATCACAAACTCTTTCATTATCATCTCTTTATTGGAAAGAGAGTCAATATTGACGATAAATACTGTTTCAAATGCTCCTCACTGGTCCTCTTCCCTTGATAGATGAACCTGGATAATCTGTGCCACACAATCTAGTTTCTACAACTAGTTTCTCTAGCCTGAAAAGTACTTTTTTTAAATGAC